TATCATTTATTTTTTCTTTCATGTTACTTCTCTACTTTTTTGCTTTTATGTGGAGTAGGATGTGTATATCACAAACATTAACTGTACTTCAAAGTGCCATGACAGCAGGCTTTAAAGCAGCAACATGTGTAAACTCTGCAAGGGTCTGAATACTTTTGCCAGGCATTATCCCACTCTTCTGTGGACTAATTCCACAGCAGCAGCGTCTTCCTTGTGTTGTTGTAACCAAAGTGTTGTACAAAACGTTCTAAATGCAGTCTCGCGAGTACATTGTACAATTTCAACATTCCATGATTTCAGTGCAATGTTTTAAACCGTATAGCTGTTAATATTTGTGTTGTCTCCTCACATTGTTTAGAAGATGAAAGTCAATTGTCTAAGTGTTATGTGGACCTTTTTCATAAGGAGCTTACTCAAGCTCAGTGTTTTCCGTTTTGAATTTCTATGCTACTTGCATGTAACACATTGAATGTCGGGTGTGAAGTGTTTTTCCAGTTTTGAATTCTATCCGCATCATTTTGAATTTCCTTTGCCACTTCTACAGTGCTTGCTCATCATCTTCACCTGTGAGCTTGGCTAGTTTAATAACTACACTAGAGTCCAAATCAATCATATAATCTAGGACTAACAGTGTTCCTAATACAGGTCCCTGTGGTACTCTGCTAAATACAGTACTGCAGTTGGAGTATTCATCCCTTATGCTTTTGTTTCCTGTCCTATTTATTATCCAGGTTTTTTTTTCTTAACTCTTTTGTAATCCAAATACATGCATTTCCTTTAATGTCTACTGCTGGTAAATTGAGAATTCAAGTAGACAAATATTTTTGATATTTAAAATATACCATATGCTTTGTATTAATCCCTGCTGGTTTTTTTTTATCAAAGTCCTTCCTTTTCCAAACCTATGCTAGCCTGGAATTCTGTTTTCATATTAATGATCCTCGGTGTCTAATTGTTATTTCAATAACCTTAAACATAGCAGACGTACAGTAAGACTTATTGATCTGTAATTGCTTGGTTTTGTCACCCTTTTTATGGATGGCCTCTATAGATATATATACCATCTTCCTGTCAATGGGTTTTCCCCTGTCTTGAGTGACTGTTGGAAGAGTATTGCTAACAACCTACGAATCACATATCTTGTTTAAGTACAATTGGTACAAGTAATAATTGGTAGAATACTGTCAGGTTCTTTCAGAGCCTGAAACACTTCTGGTTCATCTGTGCTCCTAATTCTTAATTTAGAACTTTGTCTTTTCTCAGATTGAGATGTGTTTATTGGCTTCTTCCTTGAGAACCACTTGGGTGCAATATTAATTTCTCACTTCAGTTATTTCTCTCTCATTGTCAGAAGCTTTGAGATTATTATTTGGAACAATTTGCTTCACCTTTTACTGTTCTTTAGCTCTTGTAATACAGAAAGAATCATTTTTATTCCAGCCTCCAGCCTCCAGTATTGCAGGATTGTTTTTTAGATCTTTGTTTTCTAATATCCCTTTTTAGTTGTGCTCGCAATTAATTACACCCGTCTTCTTTAACCAAACATTGTTCCTGTGAATTCTTCTTCCTTTGCCATTCTGTATATTTCTCAATATTTAATGAGCTCAACTTTATTAATTTGCTTTAATTACCTTACTGTTAAGTATCTCTATGCTTCAGAGATAACAAAAAAGTAATATGTCCTATATAATTTTTTTATGTCTTGCTTTCATAGTCTGCTTTCCGGAAGTTGTAAACCAAGAGTCCTGGAGCACCAGAAGGTTTCTGGTTTTCTTTCCACCTGAGCCCTTCAATACTTAACCGGTCTCATTAATTGCTTAACTGTACAATTTGAAACCTCTCGTTGTTCTTAGGGAGCTGGAGATTTGAAGAGAAATATAAAACCTGCTGAACAGTATGTCTGCAGACCAGAGTGGGGCTCCCCATTGTAAACATGGTGTTTTGAATCTGAATCTGAATCTGTTTATAAGCAGGATTTAGACCAGTGTTCACCTTGTTCCTTAAATTTGAACATGTACTGAGAGGCATTCAAAGGCAACGTGTGTTAGTGTTTCTAGTAATCACTGGTTGAATTGACATTGCCTCTCGGTAGATATTGCTCCATGCTGTGATTAAAAGCTGTAATCTGCTGTTAATATTCTCCTGATCATCCTTTTTCTGGTGACTGTTTTTACACTTTCCTGTCTGTGCATGAGAAAAAGCCTCAGTAGAACTGTGAGTGTGCAGCGCCTTGCGGTTTTGTCTTTGCGTTAAGAGAAAGAACTGTAGGCTTGGTACCAAAGTGCCACTGTTATTGTTTCAGCTTGCTGGTGAAGAGAGTACCAAACGAAGGAGGCTGTCGTCCAGACTGTGCGTACTTTCCACTTCAACTCCAAACATCCTGCTTTAGATTAAATTAAAAGCTCCAATTACGCAATTGCATCTTATTTATGTTTAAGCGTAATTTTTAAATATCAAATGCTAATTGCATGTTTTTATGTGGGTTGTTGATCTTGAAATATTCTATATGCATGTAAAGCCAGGCATATATTGATAATATGAATTTTATTGAAGTTGTTCATTTGCTAATAATCTTTCATACTATATACTACTTTGGGCGCAATACAATGATGAGAGTTTTATCAATTTTGTACATTCGTTTTTGTAAGGTTACTTTTCGTACTTGAATGGATTCAAAACATATTAATTAAAGCATTTATGTTTTGTTTTTTTTATTTCCTGGCAGATGTTGGATTTGAAATTCCAAACCATTTCATTGTGGGCTATGCCTTGGACTACAATGAGCATTTTAGAGACCTCAATGTAAGATAATATCATGTTGTGATATTCCTGACTTTAATTTCAACATAAGGACACATCTAGGCGCATTATTGAAATTTCGTGACCGGAATCACGTTTGCAAGTTTAGTCCCTTTATGGGCTTAAAAGAGAATTTTACTAATAATTGCTGTTAATCTTGATTTAGGAATAATAGGTTGGCATAACGTATCCTCAGGTATCATGGGTGTTTCAGTGTTAGGTAGAGTTAGCTAAGCTTATTAATTATTATTAATTAATTATTATTAATTAGGATCGTCTCTCATCTGCCTTTCGTTCATCTTGATGTGGCGTAGGTTTGAAAACATGGGTGAAACCCAATTTATTTCCTAATCCTGCTGTTAAAATAAAAATTATACAGTTTGTATTTTATCGTTTTAGGTATCTGGAATCTTTTTATGTCAGATTTCAGCAATGTTAGTGTTGTCAATAAAGTCTACAATAAGTCTACAGAGACATAAAAAAAACAAAAGCAGGAATAAAGTCTGGAGCAATACATTTCTTCTATCATTGTAATACGACACTAGAAAAAGAATACAAATGAAAAACATATTTCTTTTTATTTGCATTAACTTAGCAATAAGTACCTTCTTTTTATTGATTTAACATACAAAATTGTACCCAATAGAGCACTGATATTATCAGCTATGATAAATGATTTCTGATATGATTAATAAGTACGGGAAATCTATTGATGCTTGCTAGAATGATTAAGTACAGTAACACAGCGATTTAGAGAACTTGAGAGAGATAGAGAGATGGTTACTATTTATAATTTTTTAGATTTGAAAGGTTCCTTAGACATTATCGAACATAAAAAACTATCTGCACTGAGTTAGTGTTCCCAAATTTGAACTGAATCAAAATGTTTTGTTTATTAAAAGGATACTGCAGACAATGAGGTGATTTATTGGATCAACCCTGTATAAGCCACATGTTGTGCTACAGTCAAGTATATCTATACGGAGCTATCCTATCGCAACACACAAAGGCATTGGGTTTTTGTCTATGGTTAGATTAATACAAAAGGAAAAAATATTTTAAAATGACTATACTTTCAAATTTGTGTTTAAAAGTAAAGTTATTATAAAAATAATTCTTAAGAATACACTTTCATGAAGTACAGTAATGGCTAGCGTTTAGCCTTGCTTAGTGAAAACTACTGTAAGTGTTACATTTTTGTACAAACATTGTGGAACAATGTGCCTTTATGGAAATCTAGAAGTTCCATGAAGAATCATTTGATCATGGAAGAATTCATGGTTGTGTTATGTTATTTTGACCCATTATGATAGCAGGTCTAATCTGCTAAAACAGTCATTATGATATTGATTGTATTGTTATTAAACTGTACAGTATCTCTCATTGATCTTGTTGTAAAAATGACAACTTCTCTCATTTACATGTCATGCTTATACGATAATAATAAGTAGATATTGATTATCTGTCAGATGTATTAAAATGGAAATCTTTTGAAATAGCACAGCACCATAAAGTTAAATTTAGGCTCAGTAATAACAACAAAATGGCAGACATATACTGTAGGAATAAATGCAGTATATAAGTGGTATAAAGTCATAAAGGCAGCATATTTCCCTTGTTGTAACTTCTGATGAGTATAATTAATTTGGAAAAAACAGCATAGTACTTAGTACTAAATCTAATAAACGGTTATTCAGATTGATAAATTGTGGTACCACTTCATTCACTAGATTGTGTAAGTGTGTGACTGATTCAAACATTTTTTCTGATTTTCAGCACATATGTGTAATCAGCGAAGTAGGCAAAGAAAAGTATAAGGTCTGAAGATCACCCTTTCCAGCCTACAAAGAAGAGCATATTTGCTTACATGATGCTTGGACTCAAAGCACTGCATGTTACCTCCTAGATAGGACATCTGGACACAATGGACAGTATTTCCTCACATAGTCTGGATACAGATGACAGCACATTTCCTCATAAGGAGCTCCTGCAAGACATGCTGTCAGTGGATGAAGTACTGTATGTTTGCTGAGTGTTCAGATGTTCTCAACCACAAACTGTATTACAGCCCCAACAGCCCCCAAAACAATCTGAACATAGGAATAGTAACAAACTGTTTATCTTAAGTATTAAATTCAAAGACTGGATTAAGCCTGAATAGTAATTTACTTTGGTATTTAGTAATTCAGTTAAAACAGTTGCCTTTAAATATCAGTACCAATAATTAAAGAATTAAATGTATTTATTTCTCTTGGTCTTAAGAAGTTTTCCATGTGAATGTTTTTCCGATTGCTGACCTCTGGTTTTTTCAAGTAGGAATGAATCTGAAGCAGGCTGTTCATATATTTCAGTCTTTCCATACCATTTCCCAGCTGTCTCAGGATACCCAAGAAAAACTCACCTGGGTATTAATAATCATTGGTGGAGACTTTGAACTTTAACATTTAAACAAAATTAGACAGAACCTTATCTTACACACTCTTGCCCAAGGACTTGGAATTCCATCAGGATCACTAACGTAAAAGGTTGACCTGCCCGTCAACCAACTACAGCTTCGGTAGAAGATCTGTCCCACCTGTTCACACTCAATGTGGGCTTATTGAAGAGCTGCCTTTACAATGCTAAGATGCTCAGTCATCTTGATTTGTTGCTTGTGCTGGCATTCTCATCGTATGTACTTTCCGGGCTTCGACCGTGTTTGCTTGATCTGTGTTTTGAATTTCCCTTGTATTGCTTTGCTGAGTTTTCCTGGCTTTGAACTTGCTTGGAGTGTCTCGATTCTGTCTACAGATTTCACCAGTTTTAACCCTCAGTTTTGACCTCTGCCTTTTTTGGATTACACCCCTGGACTGTGGTTCTGTTTTGCCTGCTTCTCCCCGCCTTGTGTAATGCTCACCTGCTGCTGTGTGTTTCGCCTGGCTGTCCACTTTTACCTGCTTTTGGATCCAGCCCACAACCTCTGATCGCTGCACCTGCTTGTAGCCGCAGCAGTAAGAACAGACCCTGGGATTCTCACAACAATACAACATTCTAGAACTCGCATCACCCTTAAGCTAGAGTGACTTAGGGGCTCTATATATTGTATCTTTTCTTGACTATTGTTTTGAAGTTGTGCGAGGTAATGCACTTCATGATAACATGTGATCTGAACCCTGCTTGATTTTCTAGACAAGCTCACTTGACTGTGTCACAGCTTGAGGGGAAAGGGTGGTAATAGAAAAATGACTAGCATATCTGGACTCCCAAGTAGTTTTTTTCTGACAAGATCTGAGGTGGTTGAGCATCAAAGTACCATTTTTATGTCTGAGTTATCATTGGAATGTCCAATTTATGGAAGAGAGTTTGATGCAACTGTACTCCTTCATAAGCACTCATGTGCTATTTTCTTGCAAATATTTATGATCCAAACAGATGTTGAATTCTTTTTCAGTGTCATTCATTATGGTCATTATGCTGTATAGCCTGTTGATCTTTTCAGTTCAGGCGTGGTTACTTTTCTTTTTAGCATAAGTAAAGGTCCATTACCCAGATACCCAGATAATTCTGTTCTGTAACTATGCACGTTGACAGAGATGTTTGTGACATTGCATATATCCTGGATCAATCCCTTTCCAGGAGTGATTTGGTGGGAGCTGTGCTGTTGTAAAAGACACCACATACCTTGCTAAAAATGGATTTGTGAAGTTATGGACAAGTCACATGACCTGAAAGTAATTTATATTGCTGTTAAAGGCTTACTGTTGAGACATGATGTCCATTTCTTTCATTCATTTCAGCTTGTACTGTTATGAGGCTGGTATATTGTTGGACTAATAAATGTGGTATCACTTTCTAATTAGTTTATCGTTGTTGATTTTTGTGTATGTTCTAGTTCCGAGACTTCGAATTTCACAAAATATAAAGTAGCATGTTTCATTGCAGCAAAATTTGAATTACGAATGCAGTGCGGGAGGTGGGATGTCTGGACCTGCGTTACACACTGAAGGGTGAAAAAGGGTAGTTTTTCATAAATGGCTATAAATTTGCACATTGTGGCAAACATCTGTCAATCAATTGTTTGTAAATTGAGGGATGCCTCTCCTGTAAAACTAGCAAAGCCTCATTTCGAATATTGTGTACATTTTTGGTCACCTTGTTACAAACAACCCATGTCTGTTTTGGGATCAGTCATGCATTTTGGGATTTTAAAGAATATCCTAGACTGACAGTCTAAAAAATTAAATCTCTATCATCATGGACGGAGAAGACTACGAGGCGACCTGATCCAGGCATTCAGAGTCCTCCAAGGCCCTGACAAAGTCATTCTAGTGGGTATCGTCACGATCAACAATGGCACTAGCCCAGGAGAAAACTTCAAGGAAGTGTATTTTAAAACAAAGAAAGGAAGGAGCTATTTTACACAAAGGGCTGTAGGAGCGTGCAACTAATACTCTGGACTTCTTTGAAGAACCTGCTAGCAGCCACACAAGCTAGACTGGTAGACTGGTTAAACAGCCTCTTCTCATGCACAACCTTGCTGATATTCTGTAAACAAAGTTCTTTCTAGAATATTGTGTTTTCTAGATTGATTTACTATCTAGGTCTAAAACTAAATGAAGTCTACGGAATTTGTGTACTGCCTGTACTTACTTTTTTAATATAGCTAACAATACGGCGAGAATTCATTGCATTAAAGTGTTCAGTTTGAACATTCAGAATAACCCCCTCGAAAAATGTGGATGGTCATTTGTAATTCAAAAAACAAAACATTATAGCAAGGAAGTGAATACTTCTGCTGGGCGCTGAATAATGTCCTCAAAACAGTATCTGAAAGATACATACACAATAGAGTTAGAAAGCTACAAAAAAATCAAATAAAAAGGGCTTTTAAATGTCCTGTTATATCACTTTTAAAAAGTTGGATATTTTTTGTCCGTAAATTAGGAAATAATAAAAACTGTGAATATGTCAGAGAGACACAGTTTCATAGTTGTATTAATAATGTGTCTTTGTTTTCCGCTGAAGTTGCTGTTGTTTGAAAAGAGACGAAAGTAACTGTTCTCGTATCACATACCCCAACGAATACTCTTAAAGACACTCCAGTCAGTGTGGCACCACTCATAAGAAAAATATACCCTTCAAGCCTCCCAAAGGAAATGTGTTTTATCTGCAGAAACTAATAAATCACCTCTGAAAATAATTCATTTGTGACTAGGCCTAGACCTCGTACGGATAAACCCTTTGTCGTATGAGGAGACTGCTTTTGACTGATTCAATCATTGTTTGTGCAGATAATGTGCCATTAATAAACGCAGAGAACATAATATTATCTGTGAACCTGGCACGACACAATATCAAGGGAAGAACGTTCTTCCTCACATTTGTTGTTTTCCATGAGTCATCCTGAAAGTCTGAAGTAAAAACTGGCACCTGTGCTATAAATGTAATGCAGTCTGTTCATTTTAATTGTTAAAAACGTAAAAGCCTCTCAGGGCTCTTAACTGTGAATTTGTTAAGTGTTAATAGTGTTTTGGAGGATGTTTTGATAAACACAAATATATTTTGGCTGTGATTATCACCAGGACAAGCTGATTGACAATTGATGGTAGTATGTTTCCGTTAAGTCTAGAAATGTCTGCTTTGCTTTACTGATCAAGTATATAACTTAATGTTATTAATACTGAATTATTTTTAAAATTTAAATTTAAAATGTGATTATAGGGGTGAGATATATCATACTGGATGCACCAGCTTGAGTTGGCTGTTCAGCATACTGTATATGTTACAGCTCTTCAGCTCTTACACCATGGGCATCCTGAATGTGTCAGAAGCTGCTGTGAGAAATTTGTAATTTCACAGTATGGAAAGAAAATATACTTTGAATTGCTTCAAGGATGCAACCACAGATTCACAATACACATTAAATTGGATAAAGTTAAGTTTTTGGGAAAGTGTGATACCATCTCATCATTTGCACACATTTTCTTCTGACAAGAACCTTACAGAGTAAGGAGTTGTATGGGTCAAATAGTGCTATATCTGTATACAGTATATCTAAATATCTAAATATGTATCTAAATAGTCTAGTCGGGAACACTTGCTTCAGTGGTCAATACCTTGTGTGTACACTTTTAAAATTAAATTAAACAGTTTAGAATGGTGATATTGCAGCAGAACGCTAGTTCTGTTCATCCATTCCATCAATAAAGAAATGACCGGACCAGTGACATTATGAGGTGAAGGTTAATGTTGATGCTCATATCTACACAGCTCATCAATTCCAGAGTGATGCAGACAGTCCTGACATTTGTCAGATGAAAGATTAGGGGGTTATATTACTGGTCAAATGTAGTGCCTGTTGTTCTGAACTCACAAGCTTTCCGTTTTACCTTCATATTACCTTGATACAAGGGGTGAACTGGGCTTCGGCTGATCTCAGGCGAAAAGGTCAGAAGGACGGACCCTGAATGCCCTATTGACTTACTACAATATATACTACAATATACTACAATATATTGTATCTCTGTTTCCCTTTACAGGAATTTGAAGTGTGCATGTTGTGAGTTGAAGCTACTGTAGGTGAAGCGAGGAGATTCATGGAGCCCGAGTGCAGGTGTAATGTTTGCCAATTACAGTGAGACAGTGTGCCTTAGGTTCCTGAAGAAAGGGTTGCCTTCTGGATGGGATCGAAAAGTCATTCTTAAGAGAATAAAAATTGGTTAAGACTGTAAAATATTGTACATTGCTGCCAAATACACTATAAAATGAGGCCCGAAGAATTCTAAGACTTTATTAGAGCAACGAGGAAACTTTAGAGGACCAAGCCTGGTCTAGTAGCTAAATTAAATTATGTGCCAAGGCCTGAGTGAACAGAGATGAAAACTGAAGATTTCCATAACTAAGGCCCTGCAAAAACTGGAGTATATAAATTTGAATGTGCTGACAGCTCTCAATCTGAGACCTCAAGCCTTGCCAATGAAGAAGAACTAAAGGTAATGAACTCATCAGCCATCAGCTAATTGTAACATATTTAGAAAGAAATTAGGAACATGCAGGGACCTTCTAATACAACATATAAAAGCATACAAAATAAAGAAGTAGTCCAGTGCTGTTTCACACTAAAAGGAATAATATAATGTAAAAGATGGATACCATAATTTTCTGTTTGACATTTGTTCTAATATCTTGCTGAAAGAAGCCAAAGTAACATTACTTCCTGAGAAAAACAGCACCAGTACTGCCTAGCTATGCACACTATTCATTACTTAGCAAAGGCTATACACTCATTGCAATTTTACAATGGTCTGCTTATATATTCAAGTGATTCATCAATAAACTTTTCTTGAAATATCACAGAGCATTAGGAAACATATTTTTAAAATTTTTATATGGAAATACTTGTATGGAAGAATAATGTGTCATTTTGAAAATGAACATTTACAGGATTTTGTTGTTTTGGATTCCTCTGCTTTATTTATGAGAAAGTCTGTCAAACAAGTTTCTTTTGGGGGGCATTATACTACTGAAGATAAGTTAAACATACCATGGCCAAAGCTGTGCCTCATTTCGGGATGATAGTTCAAAATTAGCTTGCAGCAGATATATATGTTAACAATTCTTGAGATTAATTTTCCTGAAGTGACTAGACAGACAGCTTTGTGCTTTTGTGCTACAAAAACAGCAAATGCTGACTACGTTCATCATATGACAAAGGAGTGAATAGTGTGATAATACAATAAGGCTTCAACAAGCTTGTCTCTGAGATCTGTGTTGTTGCGTGTCATCAGGTTGTGATTGCGTGTACTGTTGGAAACAGACCAGGAAATTTGTGTCACAGAACTTCCAGTCTTTTGTGATTGCTTCCCTTTTGAACTAAAGAGCAGTCTTCTCTTCAGGTAGAAAATATGGCCTGATACTTTAAATAAATGAAATAGAAGTGGGATTCAATAGACCACTTGAATTTAAGAAGACATAGTATTTGTTAATGACTTTATTTGTTGTTTCTGTTGGTTTTTTCCTCAGGCACAGTAAGGTTCTTTAAAAATAAGTGTCTCTCCATTTTATTGTGTAATTACTAAGTATGCTGCTAGAGACATTTGGATTAACTTTGTAGAAAGCTGTCTCAGTTCATGAATCACTGAATATCATAGTTCTTCTTTTGAAGCTGCACTGTTAACAATGAGTTTCTTTGTCAAAAAGTGCTTTCCTTATTGAATTAAAAAAAACACACACACAGCTGCCCTACCTTAACAGAATACACAATAAACCTCTGTACCTTTCCAGGGAACTTGTCAGTACTTCTTATCTTGAAAAGGGTACTGTATGTGTAACTATTACAACAAGTCATACTTAATTTTTTGTTCTGTTAAAAAACAATATTTTTTTACCAGTAAAGCAAAAAGGGACCACTTCACATCTATATAGATAAACTATAAAAAGTGGATAAAAAATCCACTGGTTTGATTTTGTCAGTAGGTACAGTATGAGGAGTTTGAATGTTGGAATCCTGTCTTCCCATAGTCTTTTAGTCTGTCAGTTTAGGGAATAAGACCATAAGAGGAGCCCTTTTGTGAACCCAAGGAGCTCTTCTAGACATTTATTGAAGGGAGTCAGGCTCATAGCTGGATAGCTTCCATGCTCTAACGTCTTTTTAGGTAAAGAAAGTGCCTCCTGGTGTCTGTTTTAAATGTACTTCCACTTGTGTCCAGTTAATTTGTCTTTCACTCTTCTTTCTGTAAAACTGCACTGCAGAGACGTTGAGGATTCTGAATACTGCTGTCGGGTCTCCTCATCGTCTTCTCTGCTCAGTTCTGTTCTCTCAGTCTGTCGGCACAGGACATTCCTCTCCGTCCTGGA